TTTAATCAGGGCAAGTCTTGAGGCTCAGACTGTGTCGTAGGACAGGATGACACAACTGCATGAGACCCTCCGTCGGCCAGGACACCGACCATCCGAGGGAACTCTCCCCAGGATGCAGAAGAACATCCATCAAACGCGAACATCACCAGGGTGCGCTCCCCGAGCCGACCTCCAATACCTCGTTCCGGCTCTACTAGGAGCCCGTCTGGGAGGCCCAGGGTAGAAAAAGAAAGGCAGGGCGGCCGCAGAGAGAGGGAGGGAAGGGGGCCACCTCAGACCCGTGTTCGGGGGTTGCTAGAAGTGCCCCTGGCCGAAGGTGCCCCCAGCTTTCGCTCCATTTTGGAGCCCCTGGGGCCCCTTGGGCCTCGTGAGGTGTGCTCTGGAGGCCGTGAGGGCCTCCCTGGAAATCCTGGGGGCACCTTGGGCCAGGGGCACTTCTAGCAACAATCGACGTGTCGATCTCCAGGGAGCGTGCTTCGGCCTGGGCGGGTCCAGGTGCGTCCAGGCTTGGAGGCGCGCACGGAGGGGCAACCAGGGGGGAGGGGGGGGGGGAATGCTTCTTAGAAGGAGGCTGTTTCTTAGAAGGCGCGGGCCTTACATCTGTAGATAAGGACCGCGCCTTCTAAGAAGCAGGGGCGTTTCGACGAAGCCTTCCCCCGTTCCCCTACCCCCCTCTGCGCGTGGCCAAAAAGAAAGAGCCGCGCAAACCTGCAAAGCCGATTGGCGATCAGAGACGGCCCGAGCAAGGTCGATATCGCAACGCCAGGTGGCGGGATCAGGGCATCCAGAAACTTTCGGAGCTCCGTGCGCCTCTCTTGGATCGGCGAGGTGCCGCCGGGGGCGGCGTCGGAGGCGCCGCCAGAGGGGCCCACCGCCGACCCTATAACTCTGAGCAGAGCTCCAGCAGTTTCTGTGTACAGTGCCGTTTTTACTACATGCTCCGCGTGCGGACCACGTATTAAAAATGCAGGGATTCAGTACTAAAAACAACGATGAGCTCATGCATAGATTTATGCATACATTCGCCATGTACGACAAATCCGATATTTCAAAAAATCCAATGTCTTAAAAGCTGCCCTGTATGCCGCTTGTTCGTCTTCGGGCACTGCACTGCCCAGGACCCAGGAGTGCCGCAGCGCGCGTGGGGGAGCCGAAATGTACCGATACCGCTACTCCCCAGACCTCTCCCGGGGTGCGTTCTGATAAGAATTTCGAGGCGTATCCAACGGTGCCGAGGAGGGCCGCCTCCCAGGAGGGCGGAACAGGGGGAATTTCGGGCAAGTGCACCGGTATCGAGGAGCGAGGGGCGAGGTGCCGTAGCGCGACGTCGAGGTAGTCTTCTGCCCTTCGACCTGCATGGTCCTGGAGGAGGAGGATCGAGGATCGAGGATTGGGTGTCGAGGTTCGATGTTCGAGGTTCGAGGATCAAGGATCGAGGATCGAGGCTCGAGGATCGAGGATCGAGGCTCGAGGATCGAGGCTCGAGGATCAATCGAGGCTCGAGGTTCGAGGGGCACGGAGATCGAGGTTTTCCCGTGACGAGTTTTTTTATCCAGGGTTGCTTTTTGACGGTCCCGGGGCTTCGTAAGGATCCCGAGGGTCCAAAAATTGTCGAAGTTTTCCCGCCGCGATTTTTTCACGACGCGAGGGCCTCTGGGTACGTGCGATTCATGGAAGGACCGCAGCAGGACAGTTTCGGTCTTGCTTGGCGCTGGCCAGCTTGTCACTCGCCTCGAGGGGGAAGCGTGGGCCTCATGCTGGGTGGGAGGCCCCCCCCCCGCGGACATCGGGCGCGGCCCCTTCGTCGTCGTCGTCGTCGTCGTCGTCGTCGTCGTCGTCGTCGTCGTGGTCGTCCTCCTCCTCGTCCTCGTCCTCGTCCTCCTCCTCGTCGTCGTCCTCGTCCTCGTCCTCGTCCTCGTCCTCGTCCTCGTCGTCGTCTTCCTCGTCGTCCTCGTCGTCGTCGTCGTCGTCGTCGTCGTCGTCGCTGGCCTTCTGTCGTCCTCGTCGCCCTCGCGGATTGCAGGCGCGGCCGCCGAGGCGCTCGCGCGGGTGGCCGCCGCGGAGCCGCCTGGGAGCGCGCTGGCCGCCGCGTGCGCGCGCCTGGACAGCGCGGAGGCATCCGAGCGCGGCCTGCGCCGACGTCCGCCCGGGCCCCTCGTCGTTCGCGCGCACCCTCCCCCTCCACAGGGTTCCTCCTCCTTTTCCTCCTCCTCCTCCTCCTCCTCCTCCTCCTCCTCCTCCCCTCCTCCTCCTCCTCCTCCTCCCCTCCTCCATCCTCCTCCCCTTCTTCTCCTCCTCCTCCTCCTCCTCCTCGTCGTCGTCGTCGTCGTCGTCGCCATCATCATCCATCATCATCGTCACCATCATCATTATCATCATCATCACCATCATCCTTATCATCATCGTCGTCGTCGTCGTCGTTGTTCGCGTCGTCGTCGTCGTCGTCATTATCAGCATCATCGTCATCGTCGTCATTATCATTCTCATCAATCATCATCATCACCATCATCATCACCATCGTCGTCGTCGTCGTCGTCGTTCGCGCGCCCCTTCCCCTCACAAGGCTCCTTTCTCTGCGACTTCAGATGGTGTTTTTACGCCGGGGTGTGGTTTGCGATCTGCGCCGTTGGGGCGTGGGGGGCACGGCGCCGCTGTCGTCGGGCCTCCTCGGGGCGCGGCGGAGAACTCTATCGAAGTCCCCGCCCGCCTCCCGACGGTGCCCCCCAGGGTGCCCGTTGCAAACCACACCCTCTGCAATCCACACCCTTCGGAGTCGCCGAAACTCGACTCCTGCGGTATTCGATTCGATATGAGTTCATTGGCTCCCGATGCCAATCCGATTCGGCTTCGGATTCCGATGTGGAATTCGGTTCCGCAGGGGAGGCCTGAATAAGTTGCTTGCCGATGGCCGCCGATTCGACTTCTCCCGACTAGGCTGCCGATCTCCGAGGATCCGATTCACTTCGATCGCCGATCCGACTCCTTTCTCGGCGGCGGCGAGGAAGGCGACAGCGACGGCGGAGATGACGGCGAAAACCCTCACGGGCGGGTCGGGCGGGCGGGCCCTGACTGGCGGGTCCGGCGGGCGGGCCCATCTTCTCTCTTCCGCCTCGCAGCGCCCGTGCTACAACCAGCCTGATCGCTCCGAGCCTTCCCCCCTCCCCCCTGGCCCCCTCTGCGCGTGTGGCCGAGCGAGGGGGCCTGGGTACCGTGCCCAGATGCGCTCCCCAGCCTGCGAGGCCTTTTCAGAAGGCGGCGGGGCTTCTCAGAGGCCCTCCCTGGCCTTGAAGATGTTTTCCGTGCCTTCGGGGGAGGCTCCGAACACTTCCAGCAAGCCCGCGGCCTTCCGCACCTGCTGGGAGGGTCCGCCCCTTCTCACTTCCCCCCGGGCGCGCTGCCGAGCCACGCCAGCCCAGTGTTCGTAGAGCAGAAATGAGAACTGTTAAATGCAAACATAACATTGTTTGGTGTGTGTATATATATATATATATATATGTTGGCCTGTGGCCCGCCCAAAAGGCGAGAACGCCAAAATCGCTCAGCAACTGAAGGGCAATCTGTGAATTTTGCCTTCTGGTGCTCTCTTGGAGGGGCCCTTGGGGCTCACTTGGAGCGTCTTGGGGGCCTCTTGTACCGTCTTGGGGCCACACTGGACCGGCCTGAAGCAGGCAGAGATCGATCTGCGGCCAACTTGAGCTTTCTGGGGGCTGTTCTTGAGACTTAGGCCAGTTGAGGGGCTTAGGAGCTCCATGGAAACCGTGGTCCGGGCCCTGAAGAACTTCCCAACCTCTCTAACTCTCAGGGGTGCAGGGCTGCAGGGCTGGAGGGGCCTTGGGGCAGTCCACTACGTGCTGAAGGCACGGTGGCGGTCACACACACACACACGCTCGCATATATGTATGTAGGCGTATGTATACATGTATGTATGCATGCATGCATGCATGCATGCATGCAGGTAGGTAGGTAGGTATATACGTATATCTGTATATATGCATGCATATATTTATATATACATATAGACACACTCCAGATTGTATATGTTGTATGTATGCATGTATGTATGTATGTATGTATGTATGTATGTATGTATGTATGCATATATATAATATCTGCGTATTTACATGTGCATAACCATGCAACGATGTATTGCTGTCTTTGTTGATACTTAGCCGTGCACATGTATGGCTTACATATACATATCACATGCATATATGCATGCATATGTAAAGGTACGTATCTTTATGATTTCATATAAAGACGTACCAGCGATGCGCGGCGGCCAGGTGGTTGCGCGGCGGTGTTTTGTATCCTTGGCGAGGACGACTCGCTACGACTCCGACTCCGTGACGATGCAGCCGATCCGGCGCCTGTTCCGATCCGGTACGATTTCTATCCGATGCCGACCGCTCCTGTCCTGGTGGCCTCCGCAGACCAAGCACGGGCCAACAACGTCCAATAGGCTCACTCGCCGTCGTCGTCGTCTTCGTCGCCGTCGCCGTCGCCACTGTCGTCGCCGTCGTCGTCCTCATCCTTGTCCTCGTCCTCGTCATCCTCGTTGTCATCCTCGTCCTCGTCCTCGTCCTCGTCGTAGTCGCTGCTGGCCTTCTGTCCTCGGCGTCGTCCTCATCGTCTTGGTCGTCGCCTTCGCCGATTCGATGCCTGTTCCGGCCCAGGCATCCTCCGACGTCATTGTTCCAGGAGCGAAAGAAGGTTTTAACACATCGGGGTTCTAAGAACATGTCGTGGTATTTCTATAGGAATGCCGGGACGGTCTGTCCCTGCTCAAGTTAGGGCACGAGCCCAGCTGGACGCTTGCATTTCCTTCTTCCAGGAGCCGTTTAGAGCGGTTTTCACCCCTCCCCCACCTCTACCCCTGCCCCTCTTCTGCGCTCCCCCGAAAAAACGCCGGGTTAACAAAGACCATGCCGTTGGAGATTTGGGGCTCCGACCCCATTCTGGGCTTCGGTCCTGTCCCCGCTGTCCGCGCTGGGGCCTCGCGGACACACCCGGGACGCCGCGGTTGGAGCGCTACTGGCGGTCGCGGCCAGGGGCGACAAGCAGGCCATCGACGCTGTGAGCGCCCGCCTGGAGCACCAGGACTCAGGAGCAAAAGGTCGTGATCATGGTACGTCCCACGATTTCCAAGGTTTCCAATGTTTCCGAGATGTCATACGGTCAAAAACCATAGTGCGTAAGCATGTGATGTTCCATCAACGCTACCCTTGTATCCCTGCTTCATCCTGAGCCAATGGTGACGCCCACGAAGCTCTAAATGGTAAGTGGGACTTCTAAGGGTCTTGCATCCCTACCGTGTATCCTTACCATGAATTTCGTCTGCATCGTTCCAGACGGACTGCAGAAGTGAGGGACGCTAGATACGCTGAAAATCTTGGAACGTATCTTGAGGCAATCCTATCATGACATCGCTCTCGTCCTAAGGACGGCCCCGTACGTTCCACGGCTGTTGCGGCGCTGGCGGCCGTGGCCGAGGCTGGCGACGAGTACGCCGTGGCCGCTGCCAGGCGCCGGCTGCAGCATCCAGAGCTCTGCGTGCGGCACTCGGGGTCAACTTCAAGGGGGGACTGGCTCGAGGTACGAGGTGAGTTTTCGATAGTTTTCGACAGTTCCTGGCGGTTTTCTAGCCTCTGGATGCCTTCCAGCAGTTGCGCCTCGCCGAGGGCGTTCCGGGGTTGTTGCCCGAGCGGCCGCCGGAGAGCCGAGTTATGGACTGACATCCGGCGGGCAGCGTTTCGAGTAGGGGATCGACTGCAGACGTGACTTACCCCAATGTTGGTTCGTTCGCCGAATCTGCAAACAAACACGCATCATGTTTGCACATCTGCAGAGCACTCTGCGTATTTTGATCGTGTATTCGACGGGGCGATCAATTTAGGGGTAAATCAGTTCTGCACAGTCGGACCGAGGTATAAAGATCGAGGTCGGTTTTGGGAGGGTACCCTAATGTGCTTCGTGCTTGCTGGGCGTTCTTGTGCATCCTGGGGAGGGTCATTTCCATTGACTGTTCTGTGCGTGTGTGTGTGTGTGTGTGTGTGTGTGTGTGCATCTATGTGTTTTGGCCCGCGGAGGGCTAGGTGTTCTTGAGGGATGTTATTCTGGCCTAGGTCCGACTGCAAGTCAGTTCTTTGGTCGATCCCCTATTCTTAGAAAGCCCAGGGTTCGCTAGGGACTGGTTTCCTCCCCAAAAAACAACGAAAACCTTTCCAAAACCCTCCGGACAAAAACTCCGTACCCTTCCCGGAGCCCTTCCCAGAGGGTCTTCGGAGGGTTTCGGGCTGATTTCGGCTGCTTGAAAGGAAACCAATCCCTAGCGAATCCTGCACTGTCTAACCCTACACTTATGTTGATCCAACCTACTCTAGCCTTGACCACCAGAAAGAATTTCGAGCACCAAGAAAGTACCGACCCTGGAGGGTTTTCACGTGTCGGGCCCTGGGAGGCGATACTCGTTCGACACCGTTCCGACGATTTTCTGGGTGATCGAAAGTATTTCTGGGATAAGTGCGATGGGAACAACATAAGACGACGGATGTTTTCTGTTATTTTCGAGCACTGGAGGCCCTTACCGATCCCCGGGACCCTCCACAAACATAATCGGGAGGAAAAAACGGTCCAGGCACATGGGTCGAGACCTCTGGAGGTCGACGCTGTTAAAAAGCACGACGTCGGGGGTCCTGGGAAAGTTGTGGTGGGGGCCCGAAATTATTTGTGGGATGTGGTCCGCAAGTACGATGGGAACAACATACGTTTGGCGTTTTGGGGGCACAGCACGAGCCCACCTCGCCCCGGACCGTGCCGCTGCGCCCTCTGGGGGAGCCTCTTGCGTCGCTGCAGCGGCGGTGCCCCGCGGAGGGGTCGGGCCGATGCCTCCCCCCCTCGCTGGGCGCACAGCTTGCGCCTCCGGTTCGGTTCGGTTCGGTTCGGTGTCGTAATCTTCCGGTTCGGTTCGGTTCGGTTCGGTACGTTTATTTGTTGTTTCCGGTTCGGACCGGTTCCTGTTCCGGTTCGGTCCGGTTCCGGCCAGATCGCCGTCGAGGAGCGGTTCCGACCCCAGGCGATCCGATTTCGTTGCGCTCCTTTCGATCCCGATGGTTCGGAGGAGGAGGAAGAGGAGGAGGAGGAGGAGGAGGAGGAGGAGGAGGCGAAGGAGGAGGAGCCGGGGCGACGCAGCGTGCTGGCGCGCCCCAGCGCCCCAAAGAGGCCCCAGCGCCCCAAAGAGGCCCCAACGGTGCCCCAAAGAAGCCCCAAACCCCCAACGGAGCTCCAAAGGGGCCCCAAACCCCAAAGGGAGCCCAAAGGGGCCCCAAAGCGGTCCCAAACCCGCATAGGGGCCCCAAAGGGACCCCAAACCCAAAGGGGCCCCAAAGGGGCCCCAAAGGGCCTTCAAAGGGGCTCCGAAGGGGCCCCAAACCCCCAAAGGGGCCCCAAAGGGATCCAACCCCCCAAAGGAGCCCCAAAGGGGCCGCAAACCCTTATAGGGGCCCCAAACCCCCAAAGGGGCCCCAAAGGGGCCCCAAAGGGGCTCCAAACCCCCAAAGGGGCCGCAAAGGCGCCGCAAACCCCCAAAGGGGCCCCAAAGGGGCCCCAAACCCGCATAGGGGCCCCAAAGGGGCCCCAAACCCCAAAGGAAAGTGGGGTTTGTCGGGGTGGCTGCAGCAGACTGCTGGTGGGTCGGTTCCCGCGGGAACCTGGGTACCCCGGCGGCGGCCCCCTCCTGGGTCGGTTTTTGACGTTCCCGGAGGCCGAAATAGCGAAAAACGTCCGGTTGTGATTTTTTCACAGCGCCCGGATCTGGGGGTTGTCGTCATCGTCGACGTCGCCGCCGGTCATCCTCCCTCCTCCTCCCTCCGTGGCCTGTTTTAAGCCCCCACGGCTCAGTTCCACCAACACAGGGGCGTATTCTGTCTAATGTAGCTCACTCCACATATATGCTTTCTCTTCTTGTCCATACAGCATGAGGGGCTGCTGGCTGCCCTGTCTCATGTTCCCCTTGGTCGCTGGCAGCTATAACCCGTTGCGGGCGAACAATGAGGATCGATTGGAGGAGATTTGTCGCAGGACTACATCGTTTGACGTGCTGACCCTCGTCGGCACGAAAACCAAGGCGGCGGCAGGTGCTTCGGTGAGGCGCCGCAAAATATGTATGCCAGCATTGCAGCGTTCTCGTGTCGTGGTCGAAGCAGGGTATCGCTCGAGTCCATTCGTCACCAATTCATGCGGGTGCTCGATTGTCCCGGGAAAGATATTTTCGGAGGCACACACTGTGCGGGTCGCAGTTCCCCCGCCTGAACTTCAAGGCCGTGGGCTGCTTGTTCGAGTGAAAAACGGATCCTGGGATCTAGCCTGCATTGCTCTGTACTATCCCCCCCGACCTCGGGATCTTGTGGCGATGAGTGGATACCAGCGGACCTGTGATAAACTTACATCGTGGCTGGCCGAACAATTATGTGCTTTCCCAGCTCGGTCCACCCCAATTGTGGGTATGGACTTGAATGATGGGCTTGGATTGGCGCATGTCTCAGGACAAGGGTGGGTGTAATTATGATGAGAAGCATGTCGTCCCGTCGTCCTACGCCAGCCAGGCACATTATGCAGGGATAGCAGTGGGGGGCGTACTAGCGAGCCATGATTTGTGTGCGGCTAACTGTGCTAGGGAACGGGTGCCGACTTTCTACGGCAACACGGGTGGCACGAATACGATTTATTTTCTGTGTCTACCGCGCCCGTTGGTGAATCAGATGCCTCACAGCAGTCCGCTTCGCCGAGTTAGTCGTGAGTTGCAGATTATTCCCTCTGCTAGACCTGCTGATCATATCCTCATCATGATTAAGACCATATATGCACCCTCTTACTCTACCTCCACACTTCGTGCTAAAACTCATGTCTGGGATCGAGATCTGCTTATGCGGTGCCTGCGGCGTGGTGAAAGACGGGCTGAGTTTGTGCAGGCACTGCAACGCCGGCTGGAGGCTGGCGAGAACGCTCTCACTGTTTTTTTGGACAAGTCTACGGCGTATGCGTTCTTTGAACAGGTCAACGCTATCCTGATTGAGGTTTGCCAAGAGGTTTTTGGCAGACCTGAATGTGAACAACGAAAAGCTTATACACTTGAGCGAGAACAGCTGCTTGAGCAGCGACGGCAACTTAGGCTCATGCTCCCAGAGGTTGCTGAAGAGTACGTTGTGCAGGTTTAGCACCGTCTTCGAGAGGTGTCGCGACTGCATCGATTGTTTCGGAGACGTGCTCTGGAGGAATGGAGGCAGGCGCTGCTGGAGGAGGTGAGAGAACACTTGACATATCGTCGATTAGCGGAAGCGACCCGATTAGCGAGGCGAGCGGCTGGATCGAGATTTGGACAGAAGAAGCGTGATTACGCAACGATTCGAGGAACAGTTGACGACGCTGCTGACCTCAGACGCATGTTTGCTCTGCCTGGGCCTCGTGGAGGCATGTCGGCGGTGTCAATTGATGACTGGCGTGACTGGCGGTCTGAGTGGATCTCTAGAGCTCCGCCTCCAGTGCAGCTTTTCAGAAGATGATTTTCGAGCTGCTCGCAGAGATCTGCGGGCTACTTTGTCTCGCCGGATGCGTGCGGGCAAACGCCGGCCGAGCTGCTCCCGAATGGTCTCCCCCTCTGGAGCTCTGGTGGCTGTCATTGTTCCCGAAGAAGAACTTGGGTCAGCTGCCATCTGGAGTGGGTGCTGTTGCGTGCCCGCATTCTTTGGAGAACTTCAGAGACCTGATTGTCGGGGGGCTTGCTCGAATATGGTGCTGTGGGCGAGCCCCGATCTTTTGGAACCGTAGTAGGGGAGCCCCTATTCCGAGGCCCGATGGGAAGACTCGCTGGATCCACTTCCTGGGCCCCTTTGGAAAGGCTTGGGCGTCGGGGGCGATGGCCCGGCGAGGCCAGCTGCAGGGTACCGATCAGGATCATGGGTTTCTGAGGCACCGACGTCGGGAGTGTGCGCTCATGGTTCAGGGCATTACAGGGGAATGGCTGCATCGCAATGGCTATTCCTTCCTGACCAACGCCCACGACCTGACGAATGCGTTTGCTAGAAGTGCCAAACCGCCGATGGAGTCTGCAATCCGAGATTTATTTTTGGGATCATCGGTGCGATCTGGGCACCAACGTCTTAAGAGTGCTGTTATCGCGGTGCGGGGGCACGAGGAGGATGTCAATATTGTACCGAGGAGTGGAGGACTGACGGGGGATGAGTTCGCAGTCAACACCTTTGTGCGCACCTTCGTTCCTCCTGTGCAGAAGTGGCTGGATGCCCACTCCGCGTTCGACTCCCAGGCGTCTGTGCTTTGTGCTAGGCTGCCGTTCTTTCGAGATGGCCGGCTACTGTTTGAGAGTCAGGCGGTCAACTGCTCGCTAACGAAGTGTGCGGATGACCTTGCCAGGAAGCTCGCGCTCCCGCGAGGTGTTGACCCTCGCGAGCTGGCCCATTTAAGTCGGCAGTCTAATCAGTCTCTGGACGAGCACCTTGCTGAAGTCGGTCTTGCGGAGAATCTAACCAAGCAGGGCGCGCTGTTGCACGTTCAGGGGTGCGGAGCTGCTACGTGTCTTCGTGATATTCGGGCGGGGCGTCTCGTGTTTCCTGGAAAACCTGTTCAGTGTGCTGAGAGTCTGGGATCCTGGTTATCGTCTATACCAACTAGCTATGAGTTTGAGCTTAAGTCGCGTATCAGTGCTGTTCGTCAGGCGTGGTGTCAGATGGGTGGTTTCTGGACTCTTCTTGACGTTCCCCACCGACTTAGACGTTGTTTATTGATCTCGAAGATTTATAGTGTGGCTCTATCTGGGGTTGAGGCGTTCCTCCCGAGTGTGCAACGAGTCCCGAGTGTGCAACAAGGATTGCACCCGCAACTTGGCTGAGATTCGGAGCCCAACATCTCTTATGTGCCCTCTCTGCGAGTTCTCTGCGGGCGTTTTGGCCGAGCTGCAGGTGCATCTCATATCACACCTTGACCCTCTTCCTCTGCCACCTCCAGACGATGGATGCGACGCCGTCGTGGATGCCGGCGTCGTCCGCCGCTGCCGCCGAGGGAGACAAGTCGAACCATCGCAAGCGGAGGGCAATCGAGGACGTAGTAGAGGAGGCCAAGAAGGAGGGAGGAGGAGGCAAAGGCGTCGGAATTCTAGAGGCCCTTGTGCCATTCTAGCACGGCTGTCCCTCAGCAGCGCTGCAGAACTACGCGAACTTGCGGCGTCGTTTTCGTGACTTTTTTGGTAGACGCCGAGCATGCAGTCATCGAGGCCGCCAAGGCCGGTGGCGTCGCATATAGCCAAGAGGCGAAGCGGCGAAAGGCAGACAATTCTACAGAGAATATGGGCCCTCCCTTTGTTCAAGTTTGGGTCGCCTTTCTTCGTGCCATAGGCCAGGCTGGCCGACCGCCCGATGTCGCCAAGTCGTAGGAGCAGTATTGGAGCGATTTCATAATGAAAAACAGCATCGATCAGGTGGCGACGAGTGTGCGGGCGTGTTGGGTACGGCTGACGCGGAAGCAGGACAACCAGAAGGCCATGGTGCGGGTGACGTTTGCAGTGGATCACAGTCATCAGTATCTCGAGGGCGCCATTGTGAAATACTTCCGCTCCATCGGTGCGACCAGGAAGTACGGGGCGGCGCCCAGAGACGCCCTCGAGAGGGATGCGCAGCGTCTCTAGGACCAGCTCGAGGGGAAGTAGGTGGCTTTGCCGTGGCCAGTTTCCGGTTCGCTCCGGTTCGGTCCAGTTTTGGCGGGGAGAGGTTCGGCCCGCTTCGGGGTCCCGGTTCGGTTCGGTTCGGTTCGCTGTCGTAATTTTCTGGTTCGGTTCGGTTCGGTTCCCATTGACAAAAAAACACCGGTTCGCGCCGGTTCTGTTCGGCCCGATTCGGTTGGGCCGGTTCGGTTCGCTTCCGGAACCATCTTGTAATTCAAAAGAGGAAAAGGAAACCATACACACATGTATTTAGATATACACATAGATATGTCTATAATCTAAAAACTTCAGAGAGGAACGAGGTACCCATACCGCTACCCCTTCGCCCGTTTTCGCTTTTTTGGGCCTCCCGGGAGGCCCTCGGCGCCACCCCTGGATTCGCCACGAGTTTTGGGTCAGAACGAGCCCCTGGAGAGGTCCGGGGAGTAGCGGCATCGGTACTCTCTTCTTCCCCAGTTATACAACGCCGTCAGTCGCATGTGGTTCTGTCGGAGGGGCTCATGCGGCGCCCACGAGGCGCGAATGCCTTCACAGGCCGACCTGGGGCTTGACTCCCACGTCGCAGAGTGTGGCTTGTGGCGCTCAGCGTCTCGCTTCCAATTCCGATTCCGCTTCCCCCCCCGTGGTGGCGTGGCCCTTCAGGCACGCGGCGTCGGAGGCGCTGGAGCTGCTCCTGCCCCGAGCCGCCCGCGCGCCGCTGTCGCCGTGCTCGGGGTCCAGCGGCGAGGCCTGAGCGGGCGCGGGGTGCGGAGGGGAACCCGGCCCTGCGCGGGCTCTGACGCGGGGGGCTCGGGCGCCGGCGGCCCTGGCTCGGCTGGGGCTTGGGCTCGGGCTCGGACTCGGGCTCGGGCTCGGGCTCGGGCTCGGGCTCGGGCTTGGGCTCGGGCTCGGGCTCGGGCTTCGGAGGCTCGGGCTCGTCGGGCGGCGCCGGTCCGCGGTCCCGCCGCGCTCTGGGGGCGGAGCGTGGGGCCAGTCGTTCCTGGTCCCTCGCGGTGGTTCGTGGTCGTGGCCAGGGTCGTTCGTGGTCGCTCGCGGTCGTCGCTCGTTCGTTTGGCGTTCGTGGTCTTCGTGCGTCGCTGTTCGTGGTCGTCGTCCGTCCGTCCGTCCGTCCGTCCGTCCGTCCGTCCGTCCTTTGTCGTCGTCGTCGTCGTCGTCGTCGTCGTCGTCGTCGTCGTCCGTGGTCATTGTCGTCGCCCTCGTCGGCGAACGAGGGTCTGGGCCTATCGTGAGTCGCTGGGGGGCCTCTGGGGGCCGACGTCCACGGACTTCCTCCCTCCTGCCTCATCTTGCCTCTTCATGCCCCCTCCTCCCTCCTGCCTCCTCCTTCCTCAACCTCCTCCGCGTCTTCCTTCCTCAATCTTCTCCTCTTCCTCCTCCTCCTCCTCCTCCTCCTCCTCCTTTCTCCTCCTCCTGCTCCTCCTCCTCTTCCTCCTCCCTCCCTCCTCCTCCCTGCTCCGCCTTCCTCCGCCTTCCTCCGCCTTTTTCTTCCTCCCCCTCCTCACTTCTCTGCCTTCTCTCATCCTTCACTCCTCCCCATCCTCCTTTTTCCTTCCCCCCTCCTTCCTCCGACGGGGCTCCCGAGCGCCTCCCCCTGCCCCCTCCTCGGCCGGTGGGTCCGCCCCGGCTGCGAGGAGCCCACGGCGGCAGCTGCGGCTCTCGGGCCTCCCCCCGCCCCCGGATCCCGAGGCGGACGCCGCCTCGCTCCGGGCCCCGGGGGCCGTCCGGGCCTTCGAGGGCCGAGGCGGCCTCGCGGCCCGCAGGGCGCCGGGCCGCTCGTCGCGCGGCGGGCCCGGGCGTGGGCAGGGCGATGTGGCGGCCACCCCGCGGGGCGGCGTCGCTTCCTGCTCCCTCTCGGGTGCTCCTCCCACTTCTCCTCCCTCTCATTCCTCTCTCCGCCTCCGTCTTTTTCTTCTTCTTCTTCTTCTTCCTCTTCTTCTTCTTCTTCTCCTCCTCATCATCCTCCTCCATCCCTGTTCCTCATAAGCAGCTCTGCCCTGTCGCGCCATCAGACGTGTCCGTAGGCCAGACTGTGCCGTTTCCTTCACACTTGGATGGAGGGCCACTCGTTTTCAATAGCTACTTGGATGGAGGGCCAATCGTTTTCAAACTGACTCTCGCCTGAGCGCCGCGCACATCTGCTTCCATGATTCCCAATCACTACACGGGTGGATGGCAGATGGTCTGCAAAATGTGGTTTTCGCCTTCCTCATGTTTGATTTCGGCTTGTGCGTTTCCGCCAGTGGTCGCAGACTGCACCGAGTGAGACGGGTGGTGTAGTGCTCATCGATGGTTCGCGTCCTTCCCTCTGCCCTCCCTTCCCCTCTCCAAAAGTAGTCGCGCCAGAAAACATGTGGCTCTCGCCTTCGTGCTGGCACATTCGTCTCAAACACCTCCATGTGGCTGGAATTCGTATCACAGGGTTCGGCCTAAACGGTGTTTTGGCGGTTTCGTGGGCCGTTCTCAAATCGATTTCGTTCTGCAGCAAAGGCGAAATCGAGAGAATGCGATGGAAAACGGACACAGCACGAACACGAAAAACACGGTTTTAGCCGAGCCCTGCTGTATCGTGCGCAGCAGCCGCGCGGACATGGAGGGCGGCTCCTTTCCGCAGTGAGGCTGTCGCTGGGCGCGTCCTCGAATTTTGATGACCAGACCTCGCCGCATTCCATCATGCAGCTCGCAGGACGGAGGGCGACTTGATTCGAACCGGTGCTCCCGCTAGAATGCGGTCGGACCGAGGTATGTGGTCGATGTCAGTTCGGAGAGGGTACCTTGTGTTCTTCGTGCTTCTTGGATGTTCTTGTGCATCCTGAGAGAGAGAGAGAGAGAGAGCACCCTCGAAGGTCCTTCAGTTTGGGCCGGCGGAGGGCCTCATGCCCTTGAGGGATGTTCTTCTGTCCTGGGTCCGACCGTACAGATCGCAGGACAGAGGGCGGCTTGTCTCAAAGAGGTGCTCCCGCTCGAATGGCGGGCCCATGGGCGTTCCTCTTCCGATGGGTGCGCTCCGCGCAGTGAAACGATGGCTCGCGGGGGCTGATGGGTGGATTTGGGGCCGCAGGATGCAATGCGGCATCGTTGACACATCTTGGGTTCACTCGGGTCCTCCCCCTCCTCCTCCTCCTCCTCCTCCTCCTCCTGGAGTCTCCTCCTCCTCCTCCTGGAGTCTCCTCCTCCTCCTCCTCCTCCTCCTCCACCTCCACCTCCTCCTCCTCCTTCTCCCTCCTCCTCCTCCTCCTTCTCCACCCCCTCCTCCTCCACCTCCTCCTTCTCCTCCCTCCTCCTCCTTCCTCCTCCTCCTCCCTCCTCCTCCTCCTCCTCCTCCTCCTCCTCCTCCACCACCACCACCACCCCCTCCTCCCCCATCTCCTCCTTCCTCTCCTTTCCCTCGTCCTCCCCCTTTCGTCCGCCTCCTCTTCATCCTTCTCCTCCTCCTCCTTCTCCCCCTACCCCTCCTCCTCCTCTTCCTCCTCCTCCGCCCTCCTCCTCCTCCTCCTCCTCCTTCTCCTCCTCCTCCTCCTGGGTCACTCAGTTCGGGCCATAACTCGGGTCTCCTGCGGCCGTTCGGGACAATCTGGGTACCTCCGGAACGCCCTGGGCGAGGCGCAGGTGCTCAAGCGCGTCCCGAGGGCGGAGAAGCGCCAACAAGCATAACTTCCAGCCTTACCCCTCCTCTTATCATTATCCTTTTTCTTTCTCTTCATCTTCAACTTCTTCTTCTTCCCCTCCTCCTCTTCCTCCTCCCTCCTGCTCCTCCTTCTCCGCCTCCACGGTCACAGAAGTTCCGATGGCATCGCACGTGTGTCCTGCTATCTTCGACCTGTCCCAGGTGGCCCCGCACGTAGTGGTGGGGATGCCGGGGGCAAAGATGGGGTTAGAGGAAATGGCCCTGAGGATGGTGATGATAAATGCGGAGATGGTCTGCATCGGCGTCGGGGACGTGACCCGAGGCATGCAGGAAATGGTGATCTTTGATCGTATGCGGCGGGACGTAGGCCACTCAAGTTCTTGCTCACTAAAGGGCCTCCTGGTCGGCAGCGGCGTCACCGTCTTCGTGGTGGCGCATCTGATGTTGCTGATATGCCTCGAGACCTGCCTGATCAAGCTGTTCTACTTTCTGAGGTGCCGCCGTTCCCGTTCAACAAGAAGGCTCCTGTGTTCCGCTCTGGTGTTCAGGATGCTGCTGCAGTCCTTTTGCAGGAGCTCGGCCATGATGTCGGGACGTGTCATGATGCTGATCCAGATGTCTTGGGGATCTCAGCTGAAGGTTGAGAGCTCCATATGGGGTTGTCTTGGTAAGCATGCGGATCACCATGGTGAGCATGTCGAATTCCATGAGTCTCAACGTGCTCCTGTTGCTGATCGTACTGGCCCTCAGCCGACTGTTGCCAGAGTCTGTCGTGAGCAGGGCTGGGACTTGGACAGAATGGTAGGTTTCTGTGCAAACGTGGGTACTATTCATGGTCCTCTCAATGGTAAAATGGTGTTGGTTTGTGGTTGTCACACGTACCTCCAACCAAGAGATAAGTTTCTGCGAAGTTACGCCCTTGATTAGTTTCTCTAATCTCAGGCCCCGGATCAATGCTGCTTGCCTGCGACTCCATACGACTGAAGAGGAAGCGAAATTGCTCGGTGTGCGTTCTGGTGGTCTGCCTGCAGATGCTGTGCTACCGCGTGGCTGCCGGGTGATCCGTGAGATTGTCTGGCCCGATCCTGAGGAGGACGAGGAGGCGCAGAGTAGTGGTGAGGATTTCTTCAAGTACGGCTGGGATCTGGAGCTGTTCATCGGCAGGTTCGTGCAGATCCTGGAGGGTGGTGCTATTGGCCGCGTTGGCCGCATCGTCGAAGTAGCCCCTGAGGAGCAGAACATGCGCCTCAGCCTGCACGCAGACGACGTTACAGTGGTGATCTCGGCGTTTGACGTTTGCGAGTGCGGCGACCCATCCGTGCGCCTGGAACTTCCTGCTGCGCTTGAGGCTGGCTGCGAACAACAATGAGGAGTTGGCATTTCCTGGCGCTCGGTCGTCTTTGGCACGGCCACCCTGCGCATGCTGTACGGCAGGTTCTGTTTCATAGGTGGCGGGGTGCTCGTCGCAGAGGCTACGTATCCACATACAGGCCCTCATACCATGTAATGGTTGTCCTTCGGCTGCTGCTCTTCTGGGGTGTCGCCGCCGTGAGGGGGACAACATCTTCTCCTCCTCCTCCTCCTGCTCACCTCCTCCTCCTCCTCCTCCCTCGTCCTCCTCCTTCCCCTCCTCCTCCTTGCCCTCCTCCTCCTCCTCCTCCTTCCCCTCCCTCCTCCTCCTCCCTCTTTCTCCCCCCTCTGCCGCCCTCTCCGCTCGACAGCCTCGGGCTGCGCGCGCGCGCTTGAGAGCGGGCACCCCCCCCTCCCCCGGCCGACCCGCGCAACTGGCCGCGCGAGCCCCGCAAGGCCCCGCCGCCCGCTGCCCGCCCCTGCTCGGGTGCTTCTGGGCGCACCTGGCCCGGGGTGCCCCCCCCAGGATTTGCAGAGGGAGGCCCCCTATGGCCTCCTCCTCCTACTCCTCCTCCTCCCTCTTTCTCCCTCCTCCTCCTCCTCCCTCCTCCTCCACCTCCTCCTCCTCCTCCTCCTCCTCCTCCCTCCTCCTCCTCCTCCTCCTCCTCCTCCTCCTCCCTCCTCCTCTTCCTCCTCCTCCTCCTCCTTCCCCCTGGATGGTCATCCCCCCATCATCCCCCGCTTGGACGTCCCCGACCCACGTCTCAGGAGTTCCAGGGAGGCACCCACGGGTTACAGAGCACCCCTCACGAGGCCCAGGGGGTTCCAGGGGCTCCAAGATAGAGCGAAGAGCTGGGGGCACCTTGGGCCAGAGGCACCTTCAGCACCCCCCGCCCTCGTCGGCTGCTGCCGCCACCGCCGTCCGAGGCGGCGGCGGCGGCGGCGTCGTAGTCGTCGTCGTCGGCGTCGTCGTCGGCGTTGTTGGCGTCTGCGTCGGCGGCGACGTCGTCGCCAGCGGCGGCGGCGTTGTTGGCGTTGTTGGCGTCGTCGTCGTCGTCGTCGTCGTCGTCGTCGTCGTCGTCGTCGTCGTCGTCGTCGTCGTCGTCGTCGTCGTCTGGCGGCGGCGGCGGTGGCCGCGG